TACTGGGGCGGAGCCTTGGTCTGAGCCACTACTGCAGTGTTGCCCCACTTCTATTTGCTCCAGCAGGCTGAGGCAGCATGGTGGAGGAGCAGGACATGCAGCAGCCATAGAGATGCTCTCTGGAGGACCCAACCTCCAGTTGCTTCAGGACACACTCCAGGAGCATACCCTGCTCTGTTTTCCCCCCAATGTGTCTTTTTTTGACAGCAGGATTTCCTGGTATCAAATTTAGAGTAAAAATTTTAGTATCAAACTTTTTCATTCATGGTGTGCCTCCAGCCGCATCTCAAACTGTTTTGAGATGCAACAATCGGCATGTGCTCACTCATCTGAATGTGGCCTCGGAGGTAATAAAAAATAATTCAGGCCACTGATAGGAAGCATGAATTTTGCAATGCGGATTTTATTTTTTTCAGTGTGTTTCAGTCTGCATTTTCAGACTTACAGATCAAAAATGAAACATCACACTTATGCAAAACTCCCATTTAAGTCATGAGAATTCTGCCTTAGTAAGGACTGCAGAACAGAGGATAGACAGGGTCTTTGTTACATGCTTAGTTAACTCTGGGCTCTTCTACATCTATTATTAACATGAAGCAATAAACTCTAGTATACGTCGTACTGGAGTTTACTGATTCCAGGTGTGCCATTTGAATGTGTGTCCAGGACTGCAGCATGGCAAGCCGGGTCACAGCAGCCCTGGCTGGCAGGCCACCCAGTGGGTCAGCTTGACAGTCCAGGGCTGCTCCAACCAGGCTCAATGTGCTGCAGAGGTCCTGGCTGAGGCACAAGGATGCTCTGGTGCAGGGCTACTTGGCAGACAGCCCCCACACTTGTGCCCCAGCCATCCATGTCAGTGTCCACATGTATACTGTTGTGCATGAAAAAGTTTCATAACAAGATAATACTTGTATTTCCTAGTACTACCCTACTGTAGAGTTTATTAGTTAGCTGTGGCCTAATAGGACCCTGAGATGTTTATTGAGGAGGTAATTAAGCAACTCCACAGTAAACATCTCATGTAAATGCATCTACTCAAACAACCATTGTGCTAACCTGGTATTTAGGCTCTAAAAAAGTGAGACAATTGCTGGAAGACCTCTGCTCCACTATAGCACTTAACACAGTGCTCTGCATAACTCTGATGATTCCTTTCATCAAATCAAGAAAAGTGATAAGCGGCAAGTCAGCTGAAAGGCTGAAATGTCACTTTTGCTGAAG